ACCCAAATGTCTTAGGAGGTTTGATAAGTGTGATTCATCAAAAACATACAATCTGGTCCCCTGTTCACAGTTCAAACCACTTCCTCTGGCTAACATCCCAGAGAAGGCAGGTTTTCTCAGTGTCTGTGGTCTTTAACATTTATGGACAAAGAGATTTTGTGATCTTGTAAACTATATAAGGTTAGCTACTCTACTTTGGCTGTAAATCTCTTCCAGCATACTAATCAATTTACTGTCCACAAAGACACAAAAAAACCACTGCAGCAACTTGTCGTATGTTTTTAACCATGTAAAACAAAAAAAACAAAAAAAGAAAATGTGGTCAGACAGATAGTAGGCTGCAACATCAATGGCTACATTGAAAATTCCAGTTAGTTGGGTTGGTTTCCTCTCCAGAATGTCAGTGTTTGTGTGCAGAGGAACATAGGACAGAGCCAAGTCTGAAGGCATAATCAGAAATCCCTTTGATAAAGGAGAACAGTCATTGTAAGATCATGGAAATGATGAGAAGAACGAGAATGAATTGAGTGGAAACATCCAGCAAATGATCTTAGGCCTATCGTATTTGAAATTTCCAAGACAGCAGCTTATTGTGGACACTCTGACCCTTTTCCACACCAGATGCAGACTAACACACTCTATCTGTGATCTGAGATGCTGCACACAACTGCCACACACCCCCTGTAAACAGGAAATGTTCCCGAGATCAAACCCCTCGTGTTTGACAAAACAACCTCCTTAATAGTTTTCCTTGGGTGTCTCATTAGACTTTGTGTTTTAATCTAAGTTTTATTGAAAACTGGTCTGCTCACTGTCTGCTGCCAGCTGCCTGTCCGTCGAAGCAGACGCAGGACTTCCTCACATCTTCACAGCAGTGGCAAATTTCCATACATTTGTGCAGATTGATTATAGTCAGATGGCTGGAGCATGTGAAAGCCTGCATCGCATTTGCACACAGCACTCCCTTTAAAGCTCTGTGAAGTGCGCTCGTGTGTTGTGTTGGTTTTCCTTTAAGCGCCAACAGCAGCCAGCTGTGCACAGGCGGGGAGTTTTCTGTTACCAAATCAAGCCTCAGAGGGGCAAATTTGTTAAAGGCTGGGTGTTAGAATTTGCACTGCTGACTTGATTCCGTCAGGGCTGATAATTACCTTAATCAACCTTATTCGCTCATGAATGAGTTTTTGATCTGAAAGGATTAAAAAGTCTTGTTGTCATGGCAGCAGAAATTTCAATCCTGCTGTATTTGTTGGTTGCAAGGAGGAAAAGCAACAGAAAAGTAGTGAGTGCACAAGTTGTGCCATGACTAAAGATAAAGATGTTTTTAATTTCATCGCTTTAACACTGCTTAGTGCATGAATCTGATTTCCAAGGAGACTTTAAAGATTTACCATCCATATCAATACTAATGAACACTTGACAGACAGGATAAAACCTGTTCTTGTCACCTTCTGAGTTTTGTCCTTCGACAGTGAGTTATCAGTGTCTTCTTTTCAAACATTACTTTCTCAAATGAAATCCTTCATACTGTCACAGGACAAATTAACATGTAAAAAATAAAAATAAATAAAAAATAAGCAGATTTGTGTTTATATTATGTCTTCATATGGGTAGATACTGAGAAACATTTATTATCATTTGAACTATTTGTTTTTATTTTTTTGGGATTTCAGGTAAAATACTGCAGAGCTGTATTCTTGTTTTTAGAATCTTAGTCTTTTAGGATGTCTCTGCCAGCTTCATTTGATATATTTGCAGATTCATTATGCAATGGATCATTATTTTAACACTTCAGCAGCCCTTTAACAGGTTTTCTTTCCTGTACTTAGTTCCATTTATCCTCCATACTCTTCCCAATCGCTTTGTCCTTCACCAACAACACAGTCCAGCTGTGTGAGGTGATGTGTGAAAAACTGCAAATGATATATATATATATATATATATATATATATATATATATATATATATATATATATATATATATATATATATATATATATATATATATATATATATATATATATATATATATATATATATATATATGCACTCAGTGTGACAGCAGTATAGGAACGTACACCCAACATTTGCATATTTAGGGGGGAAAAAATAATTATTTTGTTTATAAATCTACAAGAATAAATTATTTCTTTTTGCCCTTTGATAACACTGTTAAACCAGAATGATCACACAATTTTCCAACCAATCACTCAAATCTGTGAATTCATGCAGTCATGTGTTAATTTCTCTTAATTAAAGTATATATATATAATACCTCCTCAAGCCAAAGAAAAGTTGTGTGTGTGTTTTTCTGTGTATCTATGTGTGTGTTCACTTGTCTGTGTGTGAGACGATGTGTTATACAGTGATAAATTACACAATGACTTAACAGGAATATTATGCTTCACACACTGTAGTACTAATTGTATTAGTTGTTCCAGACAGTTGGAGGCTAATTTAAGATAACTTAACATGACCTAAATAATGTCATGGAATCACAATGTCCCTAAATATGGACATATTTTATCACCATATCAACAATTATAGCTCACATTCTGAACTTTTTCTATATTTCAATACAAATTAAGCACTTGTGATCTATTTAAGTACCCTATTCTTGTGTTCTCTGGGATGAGAAGGCACAAGAGGGAACTGAAATATGTAAAGACATGCATGTTGGATGAAGCTTACATTCCTCATGAACATGTCCAGATCTGCAGCTTCTTTACATGTTATGACCTCAGGACGAGATCAGCACTCCTTCATAATGGTCTAACACCTTATTTTTGTTTCTCAATAATGTCCTCTTCCTACATTATCTTGACAGAACATTTCAAAAAGGGATTGTGTGAGTAAGAAACTCTAGTGCAGTAGCAGATGTTCATCCAGATGGTTTGAAGAGCCTTAACGTTTTGCTGCCTAAAAAGTTGGAAAGGATCACATCAAAACTCTTCGAATTAGATTGTTTTAAAGAATATAAACTGTTTTTTTTAGTTTTTTTTTTTACTTTTGTTTTCAAAATACTGGTTAAAACTGGATTGCAGAAATTCAGTGAAGGCTATATCACTCTTTGAATGCTTAAAAACTAAAGTGACAGAACCATTTTGATAACATGGTATAAAATACTCAGGCTTCTACCTGCCTGTCTATGCAGGTCGGTCTGACACACTGTTCAGGTTCAATTTTCTCTTTTTATTTAATTTTGATACCCTCAGAATTCTTGGGATATTGTTGTAAAGAGGATACCAGTCCTTTTTTAATTTTAGTTTGAGTTTGAAAATTAAAAATATTCAGAAACCACCAATAGGGTCATTACTGGGAAGGTTTTTGCATGGCCTTTAAAAAAATTATACAAGTTTTTTTTTTTCACATAATCAGGGAAGATTAAAACATAATAGAAATACTTTTTGGTGCAAAATACGCATGTGTACTTTGGATCAATATTGTATGTTGCAATTCTTTGATGTAACTACCTGGCCAAATATTTAGTTTTGCTCTGCACCCACAAAGGAATCCTTTTTACGAAACATACTCATACTTTGTTGAGGGAATCTAAAGCTTCCTAGAGCCTTATCCAATACCACCTCGATAAGCATAGATATGTGTTCGATAACCAAGTATTTAGCCGCATTAAAATGATTTATCACAACTAGAGAAGAAAAACGTGGTATAGGAGAAAGGTCCCAGAAAAAAAATAGAAGTAACTTAGTGAAACTGTGCTTGCAACTAAAACTAAAGGTGTTTAGTACCACTCGATAATTATTCTGGAAATGTTTCTGTTATAATTTTGAATTAGATCAGTCATTAAAAATCAATGCAACTATGCCACTATGCAGATTGGTTATTGCATTGTAATCGGAAATTTTTCACCTTGCCCAGAAATGGTCTTATTCAACTATAAGATAGGTGCTAAAATCTAGTTTTTTTTGTTTGTTTTTCAGATCATATGACCTATCCTATAGTGTCCTAACTAAGCTTTACTACTGTGGGTCAGAAATTACCCAACTGCTTGTTGTTATCAGAAAAGTCTCAATACCACCATTACAGTTGCTACAGATCTTGATAAGAAAAAAGTTGATAAATAGATTATGTTTAATTGATGATGTTTGGGAACCTGTAATGAGAATAACAATAATATTATTACATTATTATTACATACACACCCACACACAGAAACACAACCGCCTGAGGATACAGTACCACTTACATGTACTTCTCAACTATAGCTTTATATATTCTGTAAAAGTTTTATCTGCTATTATCTGTCAGTATTAAAGAAAGTCCCACTTATATATAAAGTCACACATATATATATATATATATATATATATATATATATATATATATATATATATATATATATATATATATATATATATATATATATATATATATATATATATATATATATATCCTAACTTTCCTGTACAATCGATTTTATAGCCTCTTACAATTGCTCTCTCTTTATATATACCATTTATAGTCCATACATGAATAGTCTCAATACACATGTAAATTAATATTTATATCCTGTATAGCACTTCTGTATAGATGCAATTTACATTTCGTTGATTTGAACTGGCGATAGTGTAATGACAATAAGGTTGAATTCTATACTATATGCTGGGGATTGCTTATAGTCTTTTTAGCCCTCTTAAATCTATGAGAAAATCAGGCATTCCCTTGTCATCAGTTATCATCGTCATCATTGCTATAAATGCCACGCAATACTATGATAATATTTCAAGAATATGTTGCCATCCCTATTGCAACCACATTAATGAATTAGGTGACAGTTTTATGAAAATGTCCTTTGTCATTTTACTTTTCAGCCATTTTATGGTAAAAAAATGGCTGAAAGACAGAGATCTAAGTAATCTCTAAAAACTGTTTGATATTAGATATTGCTTAAGGGACAGATGACATTTTTCAGATAGAAAAAAAAAAAAAAAAAGTCAGGATGTAAACTATTGCCACCTTAAGGTCTATGTGTTTGTCTGTAGAGTCTCCTCCGGAGCGGACGGGGCGCAGACGGAGTATGCCAGGCTCCTCAGACAAGAACTCCACCACCATGGAAGCCACCTCAACCGCTGCCACACCTTTCAGAGTCACCGTGAGTACTGTGAGTGGTGCTTCTATATCTACCAACTACCTCCTCTCCCTGTCTTACCTGGTTTCTTTATGAGCTTTAGCCTTAAGATCAATATTTAAGGAGGTTGTTTGGAGTCCAGATGGGCTCATAGGAACCTGGAACTGATTCTTTAAAAGTCAGAACAGAGTCTTTCAAACTTTATTGCTGCACAGCACACATTTGGTTTACATTCAGCACTTAGTCTTCTACTGCTTTTCCCACCTCGTATGATTGATAAGCCACTTATACTCCCACACAGCTTGCCATCTTTGCTGTAAAACAAAAACTGAGAGCCTATTTTTTTTTTGTGTGTGTCGGCTCTAGCGTTTTCTGTCATGTTTAATTCAGTAGATAAACAGTCAGTTAATGAAGCAAAAAATTCTGCCATGAGTCATCAATTTATAGATAATTAGCAATTAGCAGCGCGTATTTCCATTAATAATTAACAAGCGGGGAGATGGCAGCCCAGAGGTGAAGTGTAAACACTCCTAGTCAGACCAGTGGAGTGACGAGATTGGTTTCTTATAAACATGTAAGTTTAATGCCATCTATGGACTGAATTGGAAGCTAATGAATATGACGGCATCCCTCATGGCTGAAAAACATATTTTCCATCAAAAGTTGATTTAATAGCAAGAAGGAGAATATTTTCTATATTTTATTCAAATAATTATTGATCATAATTGAGCTCAAATTCATTGAATGCATATTTTTATCTATTTCTGTAATAAATAGTCGGAAAGAATAGAACATATAGTTGCCAGTAAGATGTTTCAATCATGTTTGAAATGTTTTAGGATTTTATTTATTTCTTATAGAGATGTGTGAGCTGAATCTTTACTTGATCTTGATTTTAAGCAGGAATTAATGAGTACTTATTTTAGAAAAAAAGGAACAAAGAGCTGCAGGCTTGTGGGAGAGCTAAAGGGTCAGATGGAAAGCTGACCTATTGATTAACTGCCTCTGAAGCAGCATCTTGTACTTCTCAGGATAAAGAAAGTTGGAGGAGATCTTAGTGAAAGTCATTCTGAGTCACATGACCTCTTAACTCCCACCAGTGAGCGTTATATTAATAAGCTGTAACGACTGAGTCCTTTGCAAAATGAGCACATTTCTGTTTAAAGACTTTTTAAATTGCCCTGTGGGCAACTTTCTCATATGCTTCCCCCTAGTGGTATTTAACTGTACTGCATCAGCAATCCCACCAACATTTTAAGTGCCTTTCATAAAATTCTTCATATTTTTCTCACTAAAACCGCAAACCAATCGATGTATTTTATTCAACATTATATAAAAAAGACCAAAGCAATGTAGTTTAAAATTGTGACATGACAAGAAAAAAACAAATAATGGCATTTCTGTTTAACATTAATCACCCGACAGCCAAATTGTTTAAAGTTGAATTTGCTTAGAAATATCTACTATTTTGGAAGCAATATAAACATTTACAATTTAACTTTTAAATCATAATCTAAAGCTTAAATGTTATGGCACCATTCATTTGCTATCAATAGAAGACCATTGACCTAAAGTCAGGTCTCTGGTAAGGACAGCTTCAATCAGAGAAACAACCGAATAGCTAATTCCAAACACTAAAGGAGCTAGAGAGAAAAAAGTGTAATCCATAAAGTGATGTACTCTACATAAATGTGAACTGACTGGTAGGAAAGCAGTCCTAGCTGACCAATATAATGTGGCACAAGCAATGAGGAAGATGATGCTGTGATAAGAGAATTGGAAAAGGGTGAAATTATGCTTTTTGGCCTACATAAAAAATGCATTTAGTGAAGAAAAACAGTAGTGGCAAGATGATACTCTGAGGAAGCTTTGTTCAGTTTTTGTAATGATCTTCAATGTTTTCTTCTATAAGTTACAATCTTAGGATTCTGTGCTTCTAATAATTTGTTAGTAATATTTGGCAAATTTTTGCATTTTCTTATGTGAGGATTACAGTAACAGCACAGCAACTCGCATATTAAATCCATCCATCTTCTTCATCAGACCCATCATATCTCTAGCAGTTTATGAACTAAAGTCTATGATAGGGCAGAGAAATAGTACAACCATGCACACACAATTGCCCAGAGGTTTAGATAGACCAATTAACCAAACAGTCATATTTTTTCCTTTTTAGTATGGGGCAAAGCCAGACTACCCATACAGGACCTATTATGCATGCACAGGGAAAATATGCAAACTCCATGTAGAGAGACTGGGAATTGAACCCACAACTTTTTTGCTGAAAGGCAACAGTGCTACAAACTGCTCCACCAATCAAATAGGTGCCAATAATAGCGTTACTGTAGTAAAGTTATTTGCTGGTTAGTTAATAAATACCATCCTTCACTGTTTCTCCTGTTTCCAGGATGAAACTTTCATGTTAAAACAGTAACAGTTCTTTAATGATATCTAAAGCACTCCTTTTATGACTTGAGCTAAATCTGTCAAAATGTTTTTCTCTCTGGTCTTTGCATGGACTGAGTTTTCTTTCTGCAAACAGGAACACGCACACTGCTCTGTTGTTCTCGAACACATCAGAAACAGAAGGAAAAAAATGGAATTCACTTCAAAGTGTAATCCTCTACAATCAATCAGATAAAGATAAAAAATAGAAGTTATAGTTTATTTCACTTAACTTGTCCTGTGGTTTCGTAAGGACTTCACTTCTCATCAATTCTCTGCCTAACTTCCATTTTGTCTTTGATAAATAGCAGAAAGGTCTAATTGGGAAGGTATGTCCTCTAGTTTTATCCATTTATGCTAAAGGAGAACAAGAGATGTGATAGTAAAAGCACAGAAAGCCCTGCTGATTGTCCCGGCTCTGATTCTATCAGCCGGCATTAAGGGCTGCCTGGAACCGCCGAGCCGAGGGAATAGAATTAACTGGTTGCAAGCATTTGCTTTAATTTCATGACAACGAGTCCCCTGCAATAAAGCCCAGCTGAACTTGTAAGTGCTGATTTAATGGATTTGGACAGGCTGAGTTTACAATGGAGTTGGGGGTGGGTCATACATCCTCGTACATGCACAGTCAAGAGGTTGAACTGCAAACAAGATGGTGCAGTAAATATTGAAACATTCTTTCTCAAGCCATCAGTTACACGTTTGGAAGGAGCTAAAACATGCAGAGGCAGAAAGGTTGTTGAGAAGCAGATGCTTCTCCATGCTGAATGTGCATGTTGAATTGCATTATGTAATTCCATTCAGCCTGTTCTCTGTCAGCCACAGAGATATGGAAAGTTCAAAGAGCTCGGTGAGAACAACGCTAGCAAGTGAAACTGGAATTCAAAGGTTATTTGCAAACTGGCCAAAATACATGCCTTGTCCTTTCTTACATTCAGGTCAAAATCATTTTAGTTTATTTAATATCCCTTCCTCAATGCTAGTCCATATATCACAGTGAATTTAGGAATACTGCTGCTTCCTATTGTTTGCCATCAGTACTCAATATTTTGGGGATTTCTGGACAAATCTGCAATTTGATATTCAAATAATCTATGAAGGTAATATTGAGTCAAACCCATTTGTGCATTTTAAGTGTGAATTTGAAGTTGTAGAGAGAGTTACATTATAAGTTTTGTAAAAGTAGAATTAAAAATAGAATTCACATGTACAGTTTTTTTCTACACCTGTTCAAATTTTAAGTACAAGTACACAAATTGTGTTTTACAAGTTGTACATCAAAAACATCATAATTGCTCCAAATGGTCCAGAACTACTGTTGCAAAAGCATTGTGCATTGTAATTTTGGTGTTTGTAATTTTAGATTTTTTAAAAATCTGTCACAATTACAAAAAAAGTTACAACTCCACAAATTGTTCATTGCAAGTCATATACATTATATACACAGACGCTTCATTAGATGCTGGCCAACATGCCTAGAGGGCGGCCATCTTGGATCGGACCACGGTTCAGACAGCTGCTGTCAGAATGAATAAAAGGCACCTTACATCTCATTTTTATCAGAGTCAGAGATAATTTCACAAAAATCTGTTACATATCACCACCACTTAAAAGACCAAAACAGATTCTAAAATTACCTTTCAGTTAGATTAAACTTATTTATTTAGATAGAGGCAAGATATATGCAAAGTTATATATTTTGCAATTAAATATTAATATGATAAACAAAAAGTTTTATATTAATATATTATAAAATCGTGTTTTACAAATAGTATAGATTTATATAATATAATATCATTTAGTATTTTTCTAACTTTGATAAAGAGCGCTATGATCTAATTTGTTGTAATGTGATGTACAAATTGTTTTTATGTTCATTTTTTTTTGTGATTGTGAAAACTTTTTTGTGAAATCGTAGTTAATGATACATTTATGTTGTGTCTAACTAAAGGCCATATACACTCACTGGCCACTTTATTAGGTACCGCATGCTAGTAACAGGTTGGACCCCCTTTTGCCTTCAGAACTGCCTCAATTCTTCGTGGCATAGATTCAACAAGGTGCTGGAAGCATTCCTCAGGGAGTTTGGTCCATATTGACATGATGGCATCACACAGTTGCCGCAGATTTGTTGGCTGCACATCCATGATGCAAATGTCCCGTTCCACCACATCCCAAAGATGCTCTATTGGATTGAGATCTGGTGACTGTGGAGGCCATTTGAGTACAGTGAACTCATTGTCATGTTCAAGAAACCAGTCTGAGTTGATTCCAGCTTTATGATATGGCGCATTATCCTGCTGAAAGTAGCCATCAGAAGTTGGGTACATTGTGGTCATAAAGGGATGGACATGGTCAGCAACAATACTCAGGTAGGCTGTGGCGTTGCAACGATGCTCAATTGGTACCAAGGGGCCCAAAGGGTGCCAAGAAAATATTCCCCACACCATGACACCACCACCACCAGCCTGAACCGTTGATACAAGGCAGGATGGATCCATGCTTTCATGTTGTAGACGCTAAATTCTGACCTCTTGCTGTTGAAACCAGATTTATTATTTCATTCATAATAACCAGTTGTATCTAAT